TTAAACTTACAGAGTAATATAAGGGCTATGGGAGCATAGTTGACCTCAGAGTAGCCACATGGGAAGATCTTCACCGAGCAGGGATAATGGATTCTCCACGGCAGCCTAGCATGGAACTGCCTCCTTTCATTTCCCCATAACTATATCATCTAGGCCCCTCCCCAAGACCAGCTGCAAGTAGAGCAGAATCGCATATAAATGATTAAGGGGTGGTTGGATATTCTGATAAGGGTCCCATAGCCCTCCCTGTCCCCTCCTACAATGATAAAGAGTCAACAGGAGCTGAGCTGGGCGGTGGTGGCATTCGCCTTTAATCCAGCACTGGGGAGGCAGAGCCAGATGGATCTCTGTGAGTTCGAGGCCAGCTTGGTGTACAGAGAGAGTTTCAGGACAGGCTGCAAAGCTGCACGGAGAAACCCTGTCACAGAAAAACCAAAAAGAAAAAGAAAAAGAAAAGACCGCTGAAAGAGAAGATATTCTGTTTACTGGGTTTGAACTCAGTGAAACAGTTGGAATGATTTGGCTTGCTGTGGATTAATATTAGCAATACTATATTGGGTTTATGTAAGCAGAATAAAACATAGCCTTGGCCTGGGGTAGGAGAGATGCTAAAACTGGCAATAAGCAGGATTCTCAGTGTTACACTCTCCCTAACCCTCTGGGGCTTAAGATTCCAGAGGGATAGGAGTCAATTGTGGCTGCAAGCAGCAGACTTGGCATTTGGAACAGAAGCCGAGGGCTCACATCTTGGGAGTACAACCAGGAAACAGAAAGAACACACTGGGAACTAATAGATGCTTTTAAAACTCAAAACCTAGCCCAAGGGACAAACTTCCTCAAGCAAGGCCACACCTCCTAAATTTACCCAAACAGTGTCACTAACTGGGGACCAATTATTTGAACATCTGAGCCTATGGGAGACATTCTCATTCAAGCCACCACAATATGGCAACAAGATGAGCCAGGCAACACAGGGAACGTAGTTCAGCAATCTGGGACTCCACTTGACTCAGGCTATATGTAGATCGCTCTTCTTTAAAAAAACAAAAAAAAGTTATTAATTTTTTAAGAATTTCATATAGACAACGTATTTTTATCATGTTTGCCCCCTACTCCTCTTCTAACTCCTCTCCAATCAACCTCTAACTTACTGTCCTCTGGTTGTTTTGTGTGTGTGTGTGTGTGTGTGTGTGTGTGTGTGTGTGTGTGTGCGTGTGTGTTGTTTTGTTTTTGTAAAACTCACCAAATCTTTTTTTTTTCATACTGCCCACATACTCATGGCTGTGGCGCTATCCACTAGAGCATGGTGGACCTATCAGGGACCACATCCTTAATGAAAACTAATTCTCCATCCTTCAGCAGCTATCAACAGTCAATAGCTAATCAGGTAGGGGTGGGGTCCACAAGCCCCTCCCACCCACCATGCCGGACTATTGGCTGACTTTTTGAAGACAACCACAGCTGCTCTGAGTTTGTGGGTGTGTGGGTCCCGTCATGCCCAGGGGTTTGCTCTGGTCCTCTCCTATTTCTGCCTCTTACAGTCCTTTCACAACCTTTCATAATGGTTCTTGAGCCTTTCAGAGAGAGAGTGTGATGTGACTGTCCTATTTATGTATGTCCCTCTTCTAAAAGGCAGCCTAGGAGTCTTACCTGAGCATAATATGCACTCATCCCTCTCTGAACAGTGAACCCAATAACCTGTGAGCAACCTAGGGACCCTGCCCCCCTGCATCAAGCTGAGAGCACACCCCCACACTGATCAAAGGAGAAGTTGCTCCTCCCCAGACAACCATCAAATTTGGACAGCTTCTGTTCAAGTATATTCCCAGTTAGGTCTGGGTATGGGCAGGGGGCCATCCAGGCTGAACGAGTTTTGGGTGCATGTGTAATAAGGCAAAATGTGTCCCCAAGTGAACTTTTAGGAAGACTCTCTTATTTATCATCTTATGCCTGTGCATAATTGGGCGTACATATTATTAAAATTCGATGCATTATGGGAAGGGACACATGCAGTTAGTAAATGACTACATAAACTACATTCCTAGTAACCAAACTCCTCCTCTTCTCAAACCCCATAAAAGAAAGTCCCAAATACTAATTAGAGTATCCTCACTCACTCACACAGCCTGCTGCTCTCTTGTTCTGTATTTGGTCTTTTCTGTTGTTTGGCTTTTAAATTTCCTTGCTACTTTTACAATTTTTCTCTAGGCTTTTACTTCATTCTCGAATAAGAGGCCAAGAACCTGGAAAGATCCATCCCAGATCCTAACGACCTGTAACAAAGATGCTCAGCATTTAAGCAAATCAAAGCTTAAGCCGCACAGTTCTGAAAAAGTAACAAGGAGGACCTCAGAGTGTTCCAATAAACAGAATGAAAAGTGACTCTGGTTCCTAGGGAGGGAAGCATTGAGGAAGAGATGCATACACAAAAACTCCAGTAGCTTGGGAAACACAGAGGAGCACAGGGGCAGCATGAAGGGTGGAGCGGGAGACAAGGTTGGGTAAGTCAAGTTCAGTAAGATTGTGGAAGACTTGGGCAGCCAGGCAAAACAATCCTATCTCAACACAGTTGGCGACTGAATCTACAGTTTAGAGAGCAGCACCATCAAAAGGGCCTTTTGGGAAAGTTAGTCCAGCAATAACCAGTTAAGAAACACTGTTTTTGGTGTCCCCACTCAGCCCTCTAAAAACTCGCCTAGCACTGTAAGTATTCAGACAGCAGAAAGCGGGCTCACCACCAGTGAACCACCCATAGGATAGACTGAAGGGGCCAATGGATATAAAATTCATACTGCATACACGGTGTTAAATGTTTCTGTAGCTACATCTAGACATAGAAGGAAAAAATTAACCCTGATATTCAGGTATCCATTTTAACAGCACATTCTAACATCAATGTATCCAAAATATCATTTCAACATGTAAGAACTACAGAAAATTATAGAGATGTTTTAATCCTTGTTTTCACATTGTCATCAATATACAACATGTATCATGTAGTTTTTATACTGGCAGCTCATTCCTATAACTAAACTTCAAATGCTCAACAGCCACAGGTGAAAAATGGCTACCTTATTGAAAAGTATTGCTCTGGATAATCAATCTAGAAGCCACGGAGTTAGAATAGATTGTATTTTAAGATAGTAGGAAGACAGGAAGAGAGTGAAACAAAGCATTTGGGGGGGAAACAACATTGTACTCATTTACCAATATTTCTTGGTTTCTCCCAAGAGTAACCAAATGCTTACTGTCTACTGTTCAATACAAACATATGAATAAAACATAAGTATACTGTAAAAGCTGTAGCAGCTATAAAACATGGAACAAAAGGAATTGAATGCCCCGTAGCCTGGGAAGAATACAGCAAGGCTTCATGGAGGAGATGGTGCTTAAACTTGGTTTGAGTAAATGTGGGAATTCAAGAAAATGAAGGTGGAGAAAAGAGAATGAAATGGCTTTTTAAAAATATATACAGATCATTAGCCGGGCGGTGGTGGCGCACGCCTTTAATCCCAGCACTCGGGAGGCAGAGCCAGGCAGATCTCTGTGAGTTCGAGGCCAGCCTGGACTACCAAGTGAGTCCCAGGAAAGGCGCAAAGCTACACAGAGAAACCCTGTCTCGAAAAACCAAAATATATATACAGATCAAAAATATAATAAAATTGAATGCTTTAAATTTTTTAGATCTTTCCCCTCCACTCCTCATATGAAGCTATTCAGAATAAACACTTTAGCTTATGCATTTATTGGCTGTAAACCATTTATAACTAACACAGTACACAGACCACAGCATCCGACTCATTGCAAAGTTCTGAGAACAAAGGTTTCTGGCACGTAAACATGAGACACTCTGTTCATGTGTGTGCTAAACTTCCCATCTTACTGTTTTGATATGATAGCAGACCACACAAAACCACAGTGAGACTATCTAAGGTCACACCATTCAGGAGGCAGTGCTAGGTGGTTTGTAATATTGAGACCAGTATGTGCTACATGGTGAAGCCCTGTCTAAGAACAACTAACACAGCCCTGAACAATGTGTGGGAGCATGTGCATGTCAGTACAGATGTCCAAAGAGGCCAGTGGCATCAGATCTGCTGGAGCTAGAGTTCTGAGCTACCAAATGTGGGCCTGGGGAACTGAACCCGAGTCCTCAGGAAAGCAGTGCACACTTTTAACCTCTGAGCTATCTCCAGCCCCCCATTTAAATATTTTAGAGATAAGTTCCAAGTTACTAAAACTTGTGGTCTGCCTGCTCCAGCCTTGCAAGTGACTGGAATTAAAGGTCTGACAACTTAAGGAAATATTTTGTAGATATCACTGGAATGTTGCTGTGGATACCTGTATGCTATGAATATGTTGCTCTGTTTGGTTAATAAATAAAGCGCTGATTGGCCAGTAGCCAGGCAGGAAGTATAGGCGGGACAAAGAGAAAGGAGAATGCTGGGAAGTGGAAGGCTGAGTAAGGAGATGCTGCCAGCAGCCGCCATGAGAAGCAAGATGTGAAGGCAGAACTGGGAAAAGGTACCAAGCCTCATGGCTCAACGTAAAAAAGAATTATGGGTTAATTCAAGTGTAAGAGCTAGTTAGTAATAAGCTTGAACAAATGGCCTTACAGTTTGTAAATTTAAAAAAAAATGTATACAGACTCATGAAAGTACAAGATTACATGAAAGACATATGATCATAGGAGGCTACAGGAATCTGGAATGTATATGGAGAATGTGAAAGTAGAACAGGATCCATGGCACAAAAGGTAGATTAAAACCAAGGTGTTTAAGCTTTGAAACAAGCTATAGGGTTTGAATGCCAGGGGCAAGGGGACAATAGGTGCTTTTATGGAGGGGAGGGGGGGATGACTTCAAAGGCTTTGTTCTTGGTGGTACAGTGGCAACGTGGAGAGCCTGGATGGGGGAATCTGTTATCAGAGGAACAGATGATAGGATTGCTATGATAACAGTCCAAAGAAGATATGATGAAGGCCTATTTTAAGGAAATAGCATAGGATTTGAGAGAGACGGAATCAAGTGACATTTTAAAATTAGAAGCAGCAAGATTTGGCAGCTGACTGTATGTGGGGGGTGAGAGAAAGGAGGTGAGAATAACACCAAGACTTCTAAGTGGGGAGGCAGGTAAAATTGAGATGCCATTAACCCAGATCAAGATGAGAAGGGGCAGGCCCTCTGGTCTGGCAACAATGGAGCTGAGCTGGTGGTGCTAACCCTTCTGGCACTCTGCCCATTCACAGTCCTACTGCCTGTCGCCATCATAGAGCTATATATCCCCTTCACCAAGGACTTCCTACTCAGCAGCATTGCCACCATGATCTCCAGGCCTGACACTGGTAAGTAGAGTGATAAGGGACAGCACTGTCTGCCTCCTCAAGGTTTCGTGTCCTGTTTTCTGGGGGGTGGGGGGGGGGCTACCTGGACAAAATGATGTCACTTCTCTACACAGTCTTCAGGTTTGCCTTTGAGGATAAGTACATATGTTGTTGTTGTTGTTGTTGGGGGTTTTGTTTGTTTGTTTGTTTTGGTTGGTTGGGTTTTTTTTTGTTGTTGTTGTTTTTTTTAAAGATTCATCACCAGGCTGTTGAGAGGTGAGCAGGACAGAGCGTTTGCCATCAAACCTGACAACTTGAGTTTGGTCCCAAAAACTCACATGATGGCAGGAGAGAAACAACTCCCACAAGTTGTCCTCTGACCTCCACATCCATGTTATAACACCATCCATGTAGTAGGATGTGCTCCTACACACACACACACACACACACACACACACACACACACACACACACAAATAATAGTTTTAAACTCACACAAAAAGGCCTCCTCTCCTTCCCTCTGCCACCGCACCTCTTACTCCTGACTCCATCTCTCACCATGCCATCCCACAAAACTTTCAAAATCAAATGATTCCCAGCCAAGAAATAAAAACAAAATCACAGCTGGGCAGCGGTGGCGCACACCTTTAGTCCCAGCACTAGGGAGGCAGAGCCAGGTGGATCTCTGTGAGTTCAAGGCCAGCCTGGTCTACAGAGTGAGATCCAGGACAGGCACCAAAACTACACAGAGAAACCCTGTCTCTAAAAGCCAAAAAACAAAATCACCCCATTCCCCACACAGATTGAAATCTTCACAAAATCAGTTACAGCTCCAGGACACTGAAGGAGAATCACGCTCAGTTTGGAGGGATTCACACATAATGGAACTGACTGTGTATGCTCATCCATGAGTCATGGTCATCCATCAGTCTCACCAGATGGAGCTGAAAATCTTTACCCTGGAGAATAGGTCATGTTTAAATTGGGAATCTGACTTGTTTTTTCACCTGCTCTAAATTGAGTGAATTGGCTGTTTGTGTAATGGATACATAAAGATTTTTGAAAAAGAAAAAAAATGACACCAGAGAAGGCTATTTATGGTTCCTAAAAACTGTATAGAACACTTTTATGATCTATGATCAAGTACCGGTATACTCTTCTTCATAGAAAGAGTGAAATAGTGAAATGTTTATATGCATATACGTTACATATGCATACATATAAGTAATTACATATATTTGTGGGTTATGTGTGTTTGTGTTTGTGTGCTTACCGTGGTGTACCTGTGGAGGTCAAAGGACGCCCTTTGAGAGTTGGCTCTCCCCTTCTACCATATGGGTTCCAAGAATCAAGTTCAGAGCATCAGGCTTGGTGGCATGTCTTTTACCCACTCACTGGTCCAGGAGAAAAGTGTCTGTTGAAGGTAACTCACACACCTCGTCCCCACCTTTCTGCAGAAATGAACTCTTTCCCAATGCTCATTATGAAGCAAGCGCCTATTTGTACAAGGATTCACAACATTCCACTGCTCACCATAGGAAAAGGAGTTTCCCAAATTCCTGCGTCCTCATCCTTTTAGCACAACAACAGAGACACTGAAATGTGTGTCGTGGTCATCCTTGCTACAGGTAGCCAGCAGAGCACAGCCAATCCTCTAGTGACTGCAGTGCAGCTGTGGAGAGCAGAAAAGCAATCCTCAGATGTATCTAAAGGCAAAGGCCTGATCCAACCACGGGCAGGGTGGCTTGTCCTCATGTCTGACCGTGGACACCCTTGACTTCTAGACTTTATTCTCGGAAGCACTTGGTTAAAGCACAATTAAATAACTGTGGGCAGCTTTTCTGAAATCGTCCCTTCCCGTCCTGGACATTCCTCCAACCCACCACTGTCTTTTGACAGGAGGGTTGGCCACGCCTCCTGTTCATTTAGCCAGCCAGCCAGCAGTATATTTTTAGAGTTCCTTCTATGTTCCAAGTACTGTGCTATGTAGAGGGGGTAAGAATTGGTGGATAAGAGAGGGTGTGGTAGTGCACGCTGCAGTTATATATTCAAGCAGTGGTGGCTGAAGAATGAGGAGTTTGAATATAGCCCAACCTGGGCTACATATAGGGAGACCTTATCTCTCTCTCTCTCTCTCTCTCTCTCTCTCTCTCTCTCTCTCTCTCTCTCTCTCTCTCACACACACACACACACACACACACACACACACACACACACACACACACCAACAAGCAAACAAACAACCCACAAGAACTGGAAGCGAAACAGTCACATTCTCATCACTTCTGTAACAGCTGCCAGACTATTTTGTGCAAAGACCGGCTTACCCAGAGCTTTCAATGCAGGGCTAATACACACGAACGCCCTCAACAAATATCTGCTGAAAGACTGAAGGAGTAAATGGGATTGGAGGTTGGTACTTGTATATGAAAATATTCAGCTTCTGGAAGTGAAACGAAGAAACATAACTCATATAGATGTTGCAGGAAGTTTTCCGGAACAAGCGCTTGTGTCACCAAGGAGAGTGAAAGAAAGGAGACGTCACCGGTGGACCAAAGCCAGGACGGCTCCTGAAAGTCCAGTTTACATTATCGTTTTATACTCTAAAGATCACAAGGTGGGACAGGCAAGCAAGGATTTGAAAGAAGCATACTTGGCAGTCAGCAGATTGTTCAGGGCGATGACCTATTGTTTCCGCTATTCCTCCAGGTCATTCTGTTCCAGGTAGGAAGTGAAGTCATGCTTGGCAGGTAGGCAGTACAATTGCTCTTTTAAGTAAATCACTACATAAATCAGTATTTAATAATTGGTCTTTCCTACCTTATTCCACTTCATATTTATATTTGAGATACATATAAATATATATACTTATGTTTGAGACAGGCTCTTACTATGTAGCCTTAGCTGGCCTAGAACTCCCTATATGGACCAGGCTGGCCTCAAACACACAGAGATCCTCCTCCCTGAAGCCTCTTGAAGATTGAAGGCATGTACTATCATGCCCAGCTGAAACATAACTTTTAAAGTAACTTTTTAAAACATGTAATCTAACATACACAATTTCGTTTTATAAATCCTGCTTGTAGTACTTCTTTTAAATTCTTTGTATGTATGTATGCATGCATGTATGTATGTATTTATTTATTTATTTATATGTGTATGCAGACACACTTGTGCATTGTGGTGTGGGTGTGGAAGTCAGAGGACATCTCATGAGAATTTATCCTCTCTTTCCACCCTATGGCTTCTGGGGATTGAACTCAGGTCATCAGGCTTGGCAGGATTCACCTTTACCAGCTGAGCCATCTTGCCGGTCCTATTTATATCACTTCTAATTCACTTCCAATCTTGATCAAACACCATATGTTAGTTGGTACATCTGTCTTTTCCCCCACTTCATAATACATTTCACAGAATCCGCACTTCAGTTTAGAAAGGTAAATTCTAAGCAATCGTAAAGGTACTGTCAACATCAAAATGGAAAATGGCACTACCAACAAAACCTAAAGAGGCCTGATGGGGTGCACTCTGCCCTCCCAGATCTGACCTGGGCAGAGATCTAACTTGAACAGGCTCACTGGAGGAAACACTCAAAAGTAAGTGGATAAGTTATTTAATTTTATATAAACAGGAGACACAAATCCAAACTAAAAGATACATGGACAATAGACTTCTTATTAGGGGGCTCTGCCTTGAATCTGGCCCTGGTTATTATAGTAGCAATTCCTCTATTCTACTTTGAATAATGACTCCTCTTCCCTATTGAGTGCATTTTCGAGAAATGACTGCCATCTGTGCCCTTATCCTATACATGTGAGATCACCCAGATACTTTTCTTTTGAGAGCCAAGCTTCAGAGGAGGACCATCAGCAAGCAGAAGTGACTCGGGTGGAGTGAGGGGTGTCACTCATCTGCATGGAAATGTAGTCTTCCCATCCTGCTCTCTCAGTCCCACAGCCACTCCAGCTTTGGTCCTTTCCAAAGATGAACTAGTCAGCTTTCCCTCAGATTCTCTGATGGCTACCTATCTGTCTTCTGATGCTTTCCTCTTTGTTTGTCAGGAAAAAAAAAATCAAAACGAGATGGATTTAGGGAGTGCATTGCCATTGCTGATAATGAGCACCGATCTGAATATGTGTGACCTTACAACATTAATACATGGAAAGCTAAACTCTAGTTTGATTATGTTAAGTGGGGAGGCTGTGGGAGATTAGATCATTAGGGCAGAATAATCATGAATGGGATTAGTGCCTAACACTAGGGGTTCGAGCTCCTACCAATGAGAAGGCAGGGAGAGGACATCTGTGAGCCACATACTGTCTAGATGGTCTATTCTTGGACTTCCCATCTTCTAAACAGTGAGCAACAAAATCATTTTGTTTATAGGCAATTTAGCCTAAGGCTTTTTGTGATAGTGGCCTGAACAGATTAAGCTCATGAAAGAACATGGCCTCTTTTTCCTAGTCTTTAAAAGAATTCATTCCTTTAAAGGAGGCTTTTGGCATTTAGCAACCTCATTGTGATGAATCATTTTACACACATGTGAAATTTTCTCCTCGGATCATACTTTGCCTTCTTACCAAAATTATCATCTCCATAACTTTAAAAGTAACAACATATTATCAGGAGGGAATACGGAAATTGGTATAGCTTTCTTAAAATTAAAATTGTTCATTTAAAATCCATCCCTTGTCACCTTAGAATAGACAAAGATTTCTTAGGGCAGAAGATGTACTGGCTATAGAAGAAAAAATTGAAATAAAGCATCTCTAAATTTTAAATTTCCTGCTTTTCAAAACAACATAAAATGCAGCGCAACTGTGGTAACTCAGACCTTTAACCCCAGCACTCGGGAGGCAGAGCCAGGTGGATCTCTGTGAATTCCAGGACAGGCTCCAAAGCTACACAGAGAAACCCTGTCTCGAAAAAACCAAAAAAAAAAAAAAAAAAAAAAAAAAAGGCAGACTAGATATAGAGGATGTGGTGGTTTGAATGAGAATGGCCCCCACAGGCTCATATGT